GGGCCATGTGGAGTGTACAAGAGCTGTGTTCTGGCGGAGGCGTTTCACTCTGTTGCTGCAGATCAGATCCGCCGTCATCCCACGCTGTTTCTCCCGAGAGGCCCGGGTGCTGCTTCTTCCATTCGTGCTCGTCGTCCATGAGCAGTTGGATCCCCGTCTCCTGCGACTGCGACAGGCGGGCCGCGTACCACGGTTCGAACGCGTACGGCACGCCCATCAACTCGGTCGCCACCCAGTACGACTCCTTGTCGCCGTGCCACACCCGGAACGTCGACAAGTCCCGCACCTCCTTGGTGTTCATCCAGCACGTAAACAGCACCGCCATGTACAGTCCCACGCGCGACTTGTCGACGCAGACCACGGCCGCGTCGGCCTCTTCGCTCGAGTACCGTCGGTAAAAGAGCGAGCTCTCGTTCAGGTAGGCCGATGGGGGATGCCCGGCGGCTTCCAGCTGGCGCTCGAGCCAGTCGTGCCGGTCGCTGCCGGAATTGATGTTGCGGTCGTGGAAGAAAAGCGCCCCCGTGTCCCGTAGCCCGGGGTATTCGTCGAACAAGTTGTCCGGATTGGCGAAGAATACGGCATCGGCGTCCATCAGAATTGTCCGCGGGTAAGGGCTGGCCAGCAGCGCGAAAGGTTTGATGGCGTATCCTTCCAGGTGGACGAGGTCCTGGTCAAACACGGCCGTCAGGTCGATGAAGCTGATATCCTCGGCCCGTCTGCGCAGAAACTCGCGCGTGCGAGATCCGAGGTCGTCGTCACCCATATACGCGATCGCGATTGGGAGGCGACACCCATGGACATTGCGTAGGGACCCGATCAAATGCGCGGCCTCCTTTGCAAACGAGTCCATGACGCTCATGACAATCCCCGTGTGTGGCCCCGTCCCCGCCTTTGAGGATGACTCGATGACGCTGGACACGATCCTCTCCTTCCACGACTGCAGCCTCTTCCAGGGGTAATACTCCATCATCGCGGGATCCCACCAGGGAAACAGCTGCGCCACGACGTCGTTGACCTCGCGCGTGTCCAGCGACGGGTTCTCGAGGTAATGGCCCGCCAGGTCCGCCAGCGCGGCGACCTTGACGCCCATGAGCCCGTGGTCCTCGGCGCCCGAGCTGTGCGCCAGCGTCTCCCCCAGCGAGTAGTGCTTGGTCAGCGTCGTGCGCTGGATCTGCGCCTGGCTTTTGGCGCTGTGCTGGAACGAGAGGATGTAGACGCTCTGCAGGATAAAGGCCGCCAGGAGGTACTTGGCCGGGTTCCGCGGCAGGAAGCCTCCGAGGAAACCCATCTTGATCTCGACCACAGCAAAGGGCACGCAGGGAGGGAGGGAGGAGGGAGGAGGGAGGAGGAGGAAGGGCGGGCCAAAGAGGGAGAGCACAAAAGAATCCTACTGGATTCTAGCACCTGACAGAAGGGCAACTGATATCACTTTATCATCCAGTCGTATATAGTATAAATATACAACAATAACAAGTACAGCAGGGCAGGGAGATGGAAAGACTGTGAACACACAGTAGGTCTGGCTGGGCATGGGCAAATGCTAGGTAGGTAGGCATTTACTGCCTTTCTATTTGGCAGAAAAACCCTTGCACATGCGATTCGTATCAACACCATGACCGAGTCCAGCTTCATCAAACATCCCTGCCTCACCCACTCCCAAGTGCAAAAGCCACTTCAACCTTGGCCCCCGTACCCTCTTTTCCAAGCCTTGTCGCGCCGTCACAAGGATTGGAGCATTCGACGGCAGGGGAACTCTCCTTTCCCACACCTCGCCCACCGATCAGCTCCCTCTACTGCCTCCACATCGTATCCCGCAAATGAAAAGGGGTGTGTTATGGCAGACTAAAGATTTGAGCAAAAAGTCAAAAATGGCTATCGACGAACCTGAATTGGGGGGAGATCTTCGCAGCTGCATATGTACAAACGAGGGAAGACCCACATCCGCTCGTGTGTTGATAAGGCACGAACCGACTCTCGCAAGGCTGAGAAAGCAGATTCACCCTCGTGTGGACTAGAAGTCATTGTCAAGTGCTGAGGAGAAAAGAGAATTGATAGCAAGAGAGTCGAGTGTAAACACCCGAGGAGTGCCTCTATCCGCCACGGATGGTGTGTGGCTATCGTCACATAATCGTGGAACTGATAAGGCGCTTAGGATCCGATCCACGATGGACACGCGGTAAGCTGACCGTTAAATGAGCCAAATTCCACAAACATTTCGTATACCCCTTTCTCAACCTCTCATTCGATTGTGTTGATATGAATACGACCATCAAAAGCGACAGCCAAGCCTTTTTTCAGGCTTATCACTCGTTGTCGTGTGGAAGTTCCTCTCCAGGAGCCGAAGAAGGAGCGCATCTTGGAGTCTCTTGTTGGGAGACCGAGAAGGATTCTGCTATCGGTCCTCCTTGTTTGGGCTCTCTATCACCCTCGCAGTCGCTCTTGGCTGTCCACGCGTTCAAAGGACGTTCTCAATGCGGGTTTCCAACTCCGCAAACTTCTTAGACACCCCTTGGTTCCTGTTGCCACGTCGGATGCCGCGTATGCCGTGAAGCTTGGCCGGAACAAAAGGGGAAATGCTGATCCCTCGAGGTTGAGTCGGGAAGTTTTGGTCGGTTAAACCTTATAAGGGGCGCCCTGCAGGTCCGCTCCAGCGTCTGTCTGTGCCGCTCTGCGGGGTGGTGGAAGGAACCATATCCTCAGTGGACACACAAGAAATCAGTATCGAGAATTATGGCCCCTGCCATGTTTCAAGGTGCGTCTACTATTCACCATTGTGCACACAACGCACGAGATGAAGAACAATTCACCGTGCCGAACTTCTTGCTCGGCAATCTTTTGTGGCGCTCTTCGCCTGGGCAAAGTCGACATCCCATTCATTCCCCTGTTCGTTGGTCGCCTCTCCACTTTTCCATTTCGCCCTCTTTCTACCAAGTACTAGGCCGGGAGCCAACCTCTAGAGTTCCACTCTCGTCGTCCTGCATATGCCGGTCTTTTCGGCTTCTTGGTTTGTGTGGAACTTCGATGGCGGCATGGAAATGTAGCTTTGGCTCTCTGACTTCTCTTCAAAGTGATATCAGTCAATCGCATCTGCTGAGAGTATGAATAATGGACAAGGGTGACCACTGTCTTGTGCCCTGAGACAAACCCAAGGCCTTCGCTGCTGGACGTGGCCCGTGAGTTGCGTACGCGCCGTTACCCCTGGCAGAGCAGAATGAACCTGGGATGAATGTCGAGGCGCCGCTCCGCCGCATTGAGATAGGCGTGGGCTGAGCTAGATTCAGGTGTTCGTATTGTGGAAGCAACGCAGTCGAGGTTGGAGAGACCACACAGCGTCGGGCAGAAATATGAAAAGGAGATGGAAATGTTGCTGTTGAGAGAGCCTTGTCAGTATTGGCCAGAGAGAATTGTTGCTTCGACCATTAAGTTTTGTCCGTCATTGCTAGTCCACTTGCCACTAAGCACAGGTCTTTCTATGGTGTTTTGACTGATCATACATAAGGGCGGGCGCCCTCCTTGTGACTTTGCTCTAGATTGTATCTGTGCAAGCCGTGGCTGCAGTTGCCTCCAGATGGTCGTCGTCGGTCAAGCTCAGACTGCTGGTGGCTTGTTAAAACATGTCGCAATTATCCATACATGAGAATGCACCTCGATGTCAGGATGTCCTTCGGCCAGATTTCGCAATGGGGCGGTGTCGACCCTTACAAAACGTATGTCATGGAATTTCTGCTCTGTTGCAGGCATCGTCGGGGCGAGCATGCCTGTCCTCCGCCGACATCTCGACCGAGTCGTTTCGACACCGGCGAGGCTTTGTGTTTTGACCTAATCCCAGTTGTGCAATCCGATTTTATTTGACGATGAGCAATGCCACGTTCAGGAATACAGCCGGGTTTTTATACTCCTTCCGCAGGATATGGCAGAAACGGCAAGAGAGGGAGAAAAACGTGACGGGCATCCCTATGTGTGTACGGGGACCAAAGGAGAAACAAGCTATCCATCTTCTTAGGGAGTACAGGGTTCGATGGTTTGGGGCATTCCAGAAGGGCGCAGGACTGCACGGCCAAAGTGCAATATTTTATGTTCCGACATTGAATGGTGTTGACAGCTGGCGAGGTTGACTACACCTTTCAAGGACGGGTTCTAGTGCTCAATATGGCGTGCAAAAAAAGGAAGCGTCTTGCTATAGTGGCCTGGTGTAAGCATCACCTTTTTTTTCCTTTGAGGAGCTGTATACCAGCTGTACTAAGTAATAGCATCCAGGGACCGAGTGTCTCTGCCTCTCGAGTCTGCGCCACGGCGATCGTGTGCCTCATGTGGCTTTGGTTCCGACGTCATCGGGCTGAAGGGAAAGCATCAGCATGTTCGACAAAAATGTGGAGGCTCTGCGGTCGCGTCCGCTGCATGATCGGAGTTGAGACTTGGATTGTGCTGTGTCCCTGGCACCAACTGGTCCTTGTAGATCGAGTTACGTAGTTGGTGGAAGGTTCTGTGGGAACAAGTGCGTTCACTGCGATGGGGGCTGCTTGGTGCACAGATCACGCTACCTCCAGTCCAAGGCAATTTTTCTGCCCCTGACGATTGTCGTGACCCGCACTTGGTCATCCATTCTTGCCATTTGTGCTACCCAAGCATGTTGACGTCATAGCCACAATTGCCTCTGGTGCCTCTGCTTCCATCTCGTGCCTCTCTCTTATTTCACTCGCAGCCTCATACGATCTCACTCCCTGCAGTTAAATTGTACTCTGCTCACTAAATACAAGTAGACGAACTTCACTCTCACAATCACTTTGACCTGAACCAAAATTTCAACTCCATCTCAAGGTCAGTTCCCCCAGTACACAGTTTCCCCGCATCAAGCAAACCAGTCTGACTTTCGACAGCATTCTTCCAATAGCTACCATCTCAACAAGCCTAACTACAGACCAGTCGTGTGATCACGCAGTCCCAAATCAAACAATATCTCTCGTTGTAAAAGCAACTTCACTTAACCACCAGACAGCAACATGCCTCGCGGAGTTGGCGAAGTCACCAAAGTCTTTTACAAGGGCAGCACCGATGACTTCATCGTATTTGTCGAATCCCCTCAAGACCTCAAAGCATGGCAAGCCGACCAATCAATTCCTCTTGCACAAGTGGTGAATAGCTTCAAGATCATGGTCACCCACAAACATGGCGCACAGGGTCAGTTGGATGGGGCAAGCAAAGCCAGTCTGGAGAATGAGTTTGGTACCAGCAATGAAGATGAAGTCATCAAGAAGATTCTCCTAGAGGGACAACCACAAACTGTGACGGTATGTTTGATCAAAGTTCTCGGCTTCTGCGTCGCCAACAAGTATATGCTGACTATGTATTCTTCTTAGACCGGTGAACGGGGAGGTGACCGCAACGAGACCAAGGGTCCCAGACAAGGACATCCCACCGCATAGACCTCAAGTCCAGACCTGATGTGAAGGTGCTCTGCTTGATATGCCTATTGTCATAGCGTGAACAAGCAAGGGAGCAGTGGAAGTTGGTGATGATTGAAACAGGCTCCATTGTGGGGCGACGACGATATCTCCGGAGAGGATATGACAAATCATGAATCATGTCAATATGGCCATGGTCATTGACACCGCAGCATGTGCGGTTAAGAGAGCTGCCCAAACATCAAAGACCAGCAACCCATGACTGGCATTTGTATTAGCTAGCTACTCAAATTAAAAAAAAAAGTCGTGAACTTGGAAAGAAATTCTCAAGGGCACTCCAAACTTCGAGATCCTTTTCCTGTTTTTTCTCACCATGTCCTTTTAACTCTATCGATGGGTCCTCCATCTCTCCTGAGCAATTAATTAATACACAGACCGTACTCGCATATGCTATGTAGCTGAAGGGACGGGCTGTAAAGCACCTACTTACTTACTCGAGCGAAGCGCGGATGAAAGAAGAGATGAAGGGGCGGCAAAGGGGAAAGATCAAACAGGGGAACAAAGAAGAGTAGTTTGAGAGGGGGGGATGATCAAAGGGGAAGAAGAACCCGGTAGTGGTCATGGTCATGCTAGAACAGAAATCTTGGAGGGATCCCTCTTTGGTAGATCTAGAACTCGCTATGCAGCTGTCTCTTCCTTCCAGGCTGGTATATTCGTGTATCTTTCCTCCCCAATGATCACCTGTGAGCTTTCTCTCTCCCTCTCGCGTACTCTTTCTGTCTCCCTCTTTCGTATCAAAGCAGGGATCTGACGGACGGCTGTAAACCTGATAGTATACATAGATGCAGACATGGATGGGGAGGACCCTGTCAAACTGTCTGCTTTCACCTGATAGTGATGCCGCCGGTGACCAGGCCAATTCCCCATCCTGCCTGGTTGTTCCTCGCTCTCTCGCACAACTCATTGCATGCTTTGTGGTATCTCTGGCGTTATCTTGAATCGCTTAAAAAAACAACAAACTCTTCGAAAAAGAAAATCTGTACATGACATCCCAAAATCCAAGGACGCAGGAGAATAGATGAGGGAAGTGAACTTGTCCCTCTTGGTGCCGTCTTGACGTGACTGTCGTCGAGACTTTCTGGTTTTCCTCTTGCTGGCTGAAAACAAGTCACACCGTCTCAAGGTCCTGCGCGGTAGATGGTACCGAAAGCCAGAGCCAGTCTGACCTTTCCATACACGGGCGACAAGACTCTAGAAATGTTCCTTCCAAAACCTGAATTTGACGAGGTCGTTGCTCGTCGCTTTACAGGCGGTCTTGATTTCTCTCGCCGCGGCGCTGGGTCCACAAAAGTATACACCCACTGTGGCCTTCATTTGTGCCGTAATGGATGACTCCTTGCCCACGTCCAGATACGTCTGGTCCATGAGGCCATCTCTCATGGCGCCAAAGAGACGCTTGAAGTCGGGCCGGCCAAACTGGGTCTTGGTGCGTAATGCAGTCAGAGGATCAACTGCATTGCCCACAGTGTTGAGGTAGATATTTGCTGCCGTGTTGGCGTCGACACGTTGGGTGAGGTAAGTGTGGATACGAAGGAACTCAGGGCCGCCCACACTTTCGGCAGCTTCGGCGGATTGTCGCTCGAGAGAAGTGAGGAGGGTCTGGAACCACTCGAAGGACTCGACAGAGCGGGTGACCCAGAGGAATTCAACACGCTTGAGACGTCTAGGTGGATTGGGTCCAGCGCGGATATTGTAGATGTGCTTGAGCACTGAGGCCCATGGAGTAACACCGATGCCTGTGCCGATGAGAACAGCAATTTCGTTGTCAAAGACGTCTTCGGCGGGGGCACCGTAAGGTCCATCGATCCGAATGGCAGGCATCTCTTGACCCTGTTGCAGCGCAATTTCATAGATGCCCTCTTTGTCCAGGTCATCGAACTCCTTTGCCTGGGCAGGACCGCAACCCAATGCATCACCCACAGCCTTCGTCCAGTCACCCACTTGACGCACATGCACCGAAATATAGGGGTCGAATGGGCACGAAGTGATTGTGAAAGGGTGCCACTGTTGGCTCGACACAGCGGGAATATTGATGAATAGCCACTGACCAGCCTTGTACTTCATGCTGGGTTTCTGGAACTGGATTTCCATGGCATCGTAAGGATGGCGGACCACTTTGGTGATCTTGGTCTCTCGTCTTGCACGGACTTCGCGCCAGAGCCGCTCAAAAAGGTAGAGACCGCCTGACCAAAGCTCCCACCGCCAGCCCTGGTAACCTATGCAGTGCTTCCAAAACAACTTGCCAGCAAATGGGGAGAATGGGTCGGCTGTGTCTCGAACGAAACAGCCCACAGCGTGTGTATACATGGCGAGGAGAAAGGGGATGAAGAGATGGTGGGTGTACCAAAACGTCTCAAAGGACTGTTGGCGAATCTTCTGGTGGGCGGTAGTGTACATGAATAACATGCACAGCAGCATAATGTGACCGGTAATACCACCGGCTTGGGTGTAATGGATTTGAATAGCTGTCTGGGGTCGGATCTGGGTTCTTTCGACGTTGAAAAAGTTGACATAGTGAGCGGTGACATGGACGGTGGTGAACAAGAGCATGGCATAGGCACACTGTCTGTGGAACCAGTGTGTCTCGTCAAGCGGTAGCCACCTAAATTTTGGTCTCAAAAACCGCATGAGGTTGCGGCACATGGGCAGCAGGATGAGCAAGACGTCCACGGAGAGGACAAGACCAGCTCCTCGCGATATCCATACCGAGAAAGTCAGAGTATTGAGACCAGCCAAACGGGGATCCGCTGCTTGCTTGTACCTGGAAAGAATATTAGATATTGAAAATGTCCCTCGAGCTGTTGGCACACGTACCATCCATAGGCGAATATCCCCCAGTGAAACCCCCACCACAGAATGTAAAAGATAATCTTGCTCGGAGCAAAATGAGACTTGAGGGTCGCCATGGTGTTAGAGCTTCCCGTGTTGATGATGATATGAAAGGAATGTATATGATCAATTGACCAGGCCGTTGACGGGATTGTTCCTCTGTTCTTCCCAGGCTATCTGGTCTGCATGTCGAAGAAAGAGCCAAGAAAAAAGTAGGTCGTGGCAACGCAATCGATATGCGGTGGATATGATGAGCACAAGAAAAAGAGCGTCGAATGAATTTTGCTGGTTGACAGAAGAATAAGCTCACACCAGAGCTGCGAGAAGAGGCTTATGAGAAGACCGATCAGATGGAGCTATAGAACAAAGATGCCGGCCGGAGACTGGCAATCCGAGATTTCGTGGTGGTTGAACGGGAGATCACACGATAGATCACACGAGGGAGTGGTACTGATGGTAAATTGATCGATGAGATTCGCGGTGGCACGGTGGCCAAGGATCCGCAGTGTCGCAGTGAGGGATGATGGTGAAGCAGGAGTTCAAACACGACAGTCTGGGAGCAGTGGTGAGGATCGGAGAGGGGGAACACGACTTCGATTTAGTATGGAAGACAGGTTGAAGCACTGAGGGTTGAGGCCGAAACAGGCTGGGAAGTGGAACCCACGAGATCTGGTACAGGAGATGTAACAGGAGTAGGAGGAGGTTTAGGAGGTGAGATATACCCGACCCGTTGCTGGGGATCAGTTCGTAAAGGGTCCTGTCGCGGGGATTTTTAGTAGAAGAGAAGCAGAGATAAACAAAGTGTGAAAGGATATTGATTGCACAGGAACTAACGAAGTGGTTTACCGTCCTCGTGGGATAGAGACATGCGAGTTGCACCCAAGATTGATGATAGAAAAGTGACTTTCTGCGGGAGGTCGGTGAATTAGTGGAGCACAAGGCACCAGATGGACATCCACCTGCATGAAACCCTGGTCCTGGGTCTCATAGAGTCTTACCTGATTGAGGACCATGGGCGGTTATTGGGTGGCGTGGGTGGGTGAGGAACGAAGAAGGTCAGGGAAACGGCCGCCGGAAACAAGATGAAGCACGAGAGCCAGTCGATGGTGGATGGGGGAGGAGTTGATCTGACAGGATGGGGGAAGGAAGAAATAGGAAACGTGGGCAAAAAGAGCAGCTCCAAGAGGCGTGGCATGACGAATTGCTCAGTGAAGAGGTGACGAGAGGATATAGTCACGCATAAAGACTCAAGACTATTGCATCTGCAAAGAGAAGTGAATGAATTACTCGTAAATTCTGGCCGGAAAGAGTAACCCAAGCACAGCAATTGCTGCAGGTGCTCAAGAAAAAAGATGAAGCGGACCAGCGTATCAGAAACCGTTTCGAAGCGCCCTGGAAACTGCCCGAGGATGCCTAGAGCAGTTTAGTGACCCGCTAAAGATCCCGTGGGCGGTGGCAACCGTGGATGCGTCCCTGGACGTCCCTGGGCTAAGGGTTCAAGTCATCCCGGGCACCCATTCCATTGGCTGTTGGGGCCTTCGCCTATCCTTCCATTAGCGTCCCACGCTCCTTAGCGCCCGCAGCTTCTCCCGCAATCACATCCATGTCGGTGCTTAATTCTGCCCCTCGATTCGCTGCCATCAACTGCGCTTCTCAACCAGTCACCACTCATCACCTCACATCGACAAAACTACTACGAATAGTAATGGATTCCAGATCTCGAACTATACCTCGCACCTTGCAGATGGCCCTGTTGTCATTTCTATTTTCGGGCTCTCATACCCACCCGCCCACCACCGCCATCACCAAGTCACCAAAGTCACCTCGTTCCCCTCCACACCAAGCCACTTCTCCACGAATCATAAAACCTCATGGCGAACAATATCACCAGATCTGGCGGTTACTGGTCTGCTCTATTATTGATTGATTTTTGTTTCCAATGGCTGCACTGCATCTCACACTAAAGCGATGGCGCCAATGATGAGCAACGGTCTTGGTAGGTTGGGCTTGTTCTCGGGTGCTCGGTAGATCATGGGGAGCTCGAGGTCTGTTGACCAGAAGACAAGCACATCTTCCCACGAGTATATCGTTATTACTTCTTGATCTTTCAACCTCTTGTCAAGTAAGTACCA